GACGCTGGGGGTTGGTGGTGGTGGGTAACGGTGAAGAGAGGGTTAGGGTTTCGGTTTGGGAACGGGTGAGAGAGGATGATGACTTCGGTGAGGATGATGACCGCCAGCAGGGGGGATTCGGCGACAGCGGTGGGGACCGGCGGTGGCGGAGTTGGTGGCGGTGGGGACCGTTGAAGAGAGGTTAGGGTTTTCGGTTTGGGAACGGGTGAGGAGGGGTGCAGGGTGGGTGAATACGGGGCTGGGCCTTAAATAGGCGTCTACAACTCCACGGGAGTTGAATCCCGTGGAGTTGCAATAAAAATTTTTACGAGAGTTGGCTCTCTAGAAAATGGACTGAAACCCATGGGAGTTCAACTCCCGTGGAGTTTTTAGTATGTTACAAACTTCACGCGAGTTGAGTTCAACTCCCGTGAAGTTTGTTTAACCAATAAAACTTCACGGGAGTTGAACTCTCGTGAAGTTTTAGAATTTTTTTTTAAAACCGACATGGTTCCAGCGTTAAGGCTGAAACCTGGTCGATTTTTGAAATTAAGTGCAAAATTGGTCGGTTTTTTAGGATTAAATGTTGAAAGGGGTTGGTTTTGAAAATTTGTCCGCTGGAAATACCGATGCTGAACCCGACCGGAATAAAGCCCTCAGTTTTGGGGCGATACCCTTCGTCTATGTTCTCCCGCTCTTTCCTCTTCCTCTCTCAACGTCAAACAAATCGATTGATCAATTAACCCGGGCAATATGAGCTACGGCTCCCCTTCTAACTCCGCGTCCTCATCGTCTTCCACCAAAAAAAGAGGCGGACCCCGAAACCCTAGCTCCAGCAACAGCAAGAAGAATCACTTCAAGCAATCTCCTTTCACCGATTTCGGAAGGTACTCATCTCAAACCTAACCCTAACCCTAACCCTAACCCTGATTCTATCACCAATCTGTTTCCTCCATCCAGTTACATGACCGAAAAGAACCGGAAGCTCAGGCAGCAGTTCGCCGCCGCCGTCGTTTCCTCTTCCTCTCTTGCCAGTGAAGATCCCGGCGGCGGAGGAATGGAAAAGGGAATCTTTCGCGGTGTCTCGATCTTCATTGACGGGTTCACAGTTCCGTCGAGTCAGGAGCTCAAGGATTTCATGCTGAAGCATGGTGGCCGGTTCGAGAACTACTTCTCGAGGCGCCGGGTGACTCATATTATTTGTAGCAACTTGCCCGATAGTAAAATGAAGAACTTTAGGTTGGTCTTTGGACTGGACCTTATTTTGAGATTGATTTGCTATTTGAATTTGGGAGGGGTGTGTGCTTTTGTTTCAGGGCGTTTAGCCGAGGGCTCCCCGTTGTGAAACCAGCATGGATTTTGGAATGTGTGGTAGCTAATAAACTCTTGAGTTGTAAGTTTTAACTCATGTTTCATTTGAGTGATCGCGCTTGTTTCAATTGTTATTGAAGATGACGGCTATAGTGGCTAGGGTTTGATCACACGCAGATGTAGGTCATATTCATTCCTCTCAATAAATTATCAAATAATCAAAGCTCTGTCATTCATCTCAAAGCTCTGTCATTCATCTCAAAGCTCTTCCATTCATCTCAGTGCTTACGATAAAAGAGCATTTGTAGACTCCTTGAGTTCCAATACAACTATGAGTCGACATGTCAACTGAATATGCGCAAACCTCGTTATTCAGAGTCTTGACTGCTAGAAATAGGCTCAGCCAATACAAAATATCACTCAACTAAACCAACATAACACGAGTCAATCTGAGACTAACTCTAATCCTCTTACTCCAAGATCCTCGTAGATAGGTATTGAAGTCTGGATCGCCATCATCTTCACTTTGTTGCTTTCTTCATTTGTCAACATGCTTTTGGTATTAGCAATGATATGAGCAAGCCAGAAGAATGATCTATATTTGTTCCTCGACTCCTTTAATCTTTTTGTTTTTTCGCTACCTATGCAGCCAACAGATGCTTATTGTTGATGGGATTTCTACCTTTTATATCGCTTTTGACATATTCTTCATATGAAAATAGGCCTACACAGCCCACTCCTATAAGGGAGGCTACTAGTTAGACGGTCAAAAAGTTATGATATAAGGTGCTTTAAAGGAACGAACTATGTCATCTGTCTATGTTAATTCCAAAGTCATATTCTATACTCTGTTCACTATATGAGACGGGGCACATTACATGTGGATGATCGTAGAATATGCAGTTATTGCTCGTTTTGATGCATAATTTTTCTTTACGTCTCATTTTATTGCATGTGAAATGTTTGGGTGTGTCAGATGATTCAAACAGGTTCACCCAATACGTCAAATACCAATTTTGTTAAACGACCAATTTGTTGCAATGCATTTGCTATTGGACTGTATGCTTAACTTGTGGCTTGGGATTTTGTACTTAAACTTTCCTCATTTTATTGCATGTGAGGGAGGAATGGGTGATGATTTAAACGGCTTTATCCAATACTTCAAATGGCACTTTACACAGATACGCAACACTTTCTGTTTGAATGTTGTAATGCATTTTGTATTAAAATTTGTGCTTAACTTGTTGTGGCTTGTGCTTTTCGTACTATTTTCCTTAGGGGTTCCTTACCAACTAAGCGAGCTTGTAAATGAGTCTGGCAAGCAACGGAAACTTTCTTCTTTCTTTACTCCCATAGACATCTCAAGTTCCATTGACGCTGATAATATTAAAGATCCCTGCACCAAAGTTGATGATGAAGACATGGATACAAGTATGAAATTATTGCCTCTAGGGGAGATCAGCCTTTCTAATTGTAATGGGGAAGATGATGCCGGATCTCTATGTTTTGGGCATGAAAGAGTTTATGAAGAGATAAACGCAGAAGCCAGATTTACTGACCTGGAAGATGAGCAGACTGTTGTAGAAGCATCAAGTGCTAGTCCCTGCAGGCCTTCAGATATGACTAGTGGTAGCTGCACGGATAACACTGCAGAATTTCTAGGTGCTTCCAATCATCATCACTCAACACTCGGGGGTCCAAAGTTTGTTGAAAACTACTTCAAGGTAGTCATATTGTCATCTTTGAATTTTCTTTTTTCTGAATTCTTTATTACTTATATTCGAAAGTTATACTCTTATAGTTTTGAGTTACTCTTCTAATATCAATTAAGAATGCTACTTGTTGCATGTGCAAATTCAGTAGGATGTTCTTAAAAAGGTTGACTGATTTTCTAACTATTTGCTTGTCCTATATTTGCTGTTAGTCGTACATCTTTATCGACCTGTACTACACTAAGTAAATGGGTAATTTTTTTTGTTAATTCACCCTTTGTCTATTCCCTCTTTCCTCTTCTAATAATCAAACAATAGTCTTAACAGTATTTACCCAGGACCTTCCATTGCATCGGCTGAGACGAAGGCAATACCCGTAGGATACAGCCTAAAGTAAAACAATCTTTTGGTAGTCTAGTTTATTGCACATCATTAACCATGTCAAATGAGTCAGCATAAGTATATTTAATCTTTGATTCTTTGATGTTACTCAGACTTTTTTACTTGAGGAATTCTTGCGATATCTAATCCTTTTGTCCTCCTCCTTTTCCTCTGCTTCGTCATGGTAGGCAAATAATTTTACTTACTTGATGGTTCTGAATTATTTGCACCTAATTTTGTGGGCAAAAATACCAAATTGGTATATTTTAATTAACCTTAGTGACAGTTTGGTATATATTTTTTCCGGTGACATATTGGTATATTATTTTTTCTCCGGCGATATATTTGTATATTATTTTTTCTCCGGCGACAAATGAGCCTCAAATTTGGCAGACCCAAATTTCTGACGAGAATTTTCACTTGACGCCTTACGTGATGCGAATGTGGCTGCCAGCGTGGCTCCCAGCGACAAGCAATTGCAACTAATCCCATCTAAAACCATCCCTTTCTCCATCATTCTCTCCATAAACCCAATAGCTTCATCTATCTTCCCACATTTCCCCAAGCTCTCCATTAATGAGCTACAAGTCACAACAGCTCTATCCTCATTACCGTAGTTGCATAAAGCTCCGACTAACACAAAGCAATCGAACCCATCAGACACCGCTCCTTTCGCTCAGAAACCCATCAAAATCTCGCACATTTCTAAAGCTCTCCCTTCTCTACAAAGCCCATTGATCAAAATCTTGCAAGTAGCCACCGAAAACGATTCGAGCTACCGATGAGGATGTTAAAAGTGTACACATTGGGCTTGACCCGATCTTGGATCATGGCATGGTATCATTGTAGAGCTTGTTGGTGTTAGTTGTGTTTGGCGAAGCTAGAGATGAGGAGGTTGCAGAGGGAGGGGGCAGGTCGAGAGTCGAGGGAGGATTTGAAGAGGTTGAAGGTCTTAGAGGCGTCGGAGAGGCGAGAGGAGCGAAGGAGGGAGGAGAGGAAGAGGTGGAGGAGGAAGGAGATTGAGGGGTTAAGGTTTGGAATTGGAGTTGATTTATGACGCTGGAAGCCATGTTCGCATCACTTGAGGCATCACGTGAGAAATTTCTCCGGAAATTCGGGTCCGGCCAAATTTGAGGCCCATTTGTCGCCGGAGAAAAAGTAATATATCAATATGTCATCGAGGAAAAAAACCAAAATGTCACTAAGGGTAAATAAAATATACCAATTTGGTATTTTACCTAATTTTGTGAGTACTGTTCTGATATGACGGATTTTATGTCCATTTTGGCTTGTGATATAATGACCAATTGATTCTATGTATCTTTACAAATCTAGGTATTCACCTATTAGGATATAAACCATTTCTTCTCTCTCTCTCTCAAACTTCCTTTCAGTTCGTAGGCTCTTAGCCTTTGTACAACAATGTCATGCACCTAAAGGAAACCCCTCTAGTGGTTCATGTTTTATATTCTTTATATGATCTCATTGTTATGATTGAATCTAAGCAGATGAACTTATTTGGGCTTTGGAATCCTTTGGTTCTAGATGATATGTTTGGAATGATGACTCAGTAGGATTAGCTTTAATGCCTCATTGGGTGTGGGACACTATTATCAAGCATCCATATCAAGCATCCAAGACACTGTCAATCCAAAGTGTTGCTACTCTTTATGAAGGTGTGCCAATAGTATGTGCATATGTATATAGTAAAAAAAACAAGCCATCAGTAGAAACAATATGGAGCTTCATATGATTTGGATTGATAGGTTTTTGATAGAAATGCCAATATTGAATTGGAAGGATGCTATAATATTGCCAAGTATTTGACTTGTGTTTTCCTGATTATTCTCTAAGTTTATGAGTATTTAATAAACTATTATGCCAACAATTGAGATCTTAAGGTAAATTGAGATCGTGCAGCACAAGTTAAATCTTATGGTGGGTTGAGATCCCATCCCTTCCCCAGACTTCTTATGGGGTTATGATGGTGCCACATTAGTGCGTGGAATAAACCAAAATAATTTTGGATCTATGTAGTACAAGTTCTGTTGTGTTCTAGCTTTATTGGTGATGCTAAAGGTGGTTCCATGAGAGTTTGGTGCTCAGAGGTTAGGCCAAGCTGCAATGCATCCCTTATGAATGGCAACCATGGAAGTTATGACAATTCAGTCAAGTAATCTGCCATGGTTATACTGATATGCAAGTTAATTCTATGCTTCCATATGGAGAATCAAATTGAAGAAAAAGGCTTTCATACAAATTTAGCTAGGTCTAAGGACTAATAAGTTGAGTGTTATTAAGATTAAATGTGAAATAACATTTCTTTTGCATGATGAAATTAGTGATTCATATGAAATAATCTGTTTCCTTGTTAAAGTTTTGATAAGTAAATTTAGAACTAGAGTATGGCAATTTAGGCCTTTTGAGTGAGAAAAGATGAAGAGTTGCCATTTTTGGATTTCTGGACCTAGGAATTTATGGAGATAAAATTAAATTTTGGGTACGCGGAATTTAGTCATTGATGATATAAATAGCAAAACGAGAAATTACTTGCACAAATTGATGCAACGAATGGGGTTAAGTAGGCTGAAAGAGAAGGAAAAGTAGTGTTAAAATGAGAATATGCATAGTGTCCGGTTAAAGGTAACATCTTCAACTTCGTTTTAAAAAGCATTGTGGGCACCAGCCTAGGCGACTGCTTAAACGTAAGCATTGTTTTAAATATCCCCGACATGGCCCGATATATCCCCCGATATATCCTTTTACAGGGCTTGCCGCAACCGATATGGTCTTTAAATATCCTTTACCGTTTTTAGCTATTTTGAATGATAAATCCCCGATATGGCCGATATATTAGCCGATATGTGGACCAATATATCTTTTTATATAGCTTGTTACAAAATAATATACCGTGTTTAGAATTTTTGGGTGAGATATCAAGATTTCCCCATTATATCAAATGACATTTTACCCTAAAAAAGCAGATCGAATGTTGCGACGTTGCTTTGCACTTTTGTTTGTTTTAGAAGGTTGATTAGTGATCCTAAGCATATATTATTCATATTTTGTATGCTTAAATTTCATTACATATGTTGAGCTTACATTTTAATGCATTATACTATGTATGCAAACATGCATTATGACATTCCGATATTTACCACATATCACCGATATTTCCCCGATATCCGCAATCCGATATGAATTTTGGTCATCCGATATTTCCCCGTTATCCGATATTTAAAACTTTGAACGTAAGTGATACCTAGGTTGTTCGTCTAAGTCTTGGGAGTGCCTACGGGAGAGCAGACTGCTTATGTGGACTATATGGTGTTGCTTATGTGGACTATATGGTGTTAGGAAGAGGTATATTGCTCGCTTAAGCATAATAATTGTTAAAGAGAGTTAGTCGGGTTAAAATGTACCGAAGATCAAAATTTTATGTCCAAGTCTATCTCAAGTAAAACGGTGGGGATATGATTTGAATCTTTAAAAATGATCCTTCCTCTCTCGATGTTAAAAATGTCTGTGTGTTGCTTAAGCATCCGCTTAGACTCCTGAGCGCTAGACGCTAGGTGTGACGCCTAGAAACGCCTAGCGTTCTCTAAAATATTGATCTTCACTAGGCAACAAATTTTTTATTCATAAAAATTTTCGACTCTTCATACCTTAAGAAACATAAACAAGGTCAGGTGGTGTCAACTCTACACCTTTAGGCCATTAAGCAATGCTACTTTTAAGTCATGAAATACCAAGAGCTATTATTAAAAAAATGAAATATTCCTAAATAGTTAAGATGAAAACACTTCTCATCACTACTGCATGAGTCTGAATATCAATTATAGCACATTATCTTCCTGTTGTCTTTGGGAAGCGATTATGAGTTGTAAATATTCCTTGTGACATAGTACCTGTTTAGATACTTTGGTGAATAAATTTGGTTTCGCTGATGGAGCTGGGAGTCAGATCCCTTGAAACTGTTCTGAGGTTTGGCTCGTCTGTATCCTATCATAGTGGTTAGTAGTAAACCTTAACTCTGTACTCCTTGTAACGTCTTCATATATATACACAGCTTCCAATTGGGTTTTACCTTAAACGAGATTCATGTTATGAACACCACTTGTTTTTATATCTTGGACTCTTCAAACGTAAATTCTTCTGATACATTGGCTGCTAGGACACGGGAAAGCACTCATGAGACTTTAATGATGCATCAAATTGTCCTACTTCTCATAATTTGTATTGATACTTTTACTTGAGGGAAGGCCAAATCTAGATTCCCCAAACTGTCTGGTAAAAATTTTCTTTAATTAAATTAATCTATAGTTGGCTGGTTTAAGTGGTTTAGATATGTTGAAATTAATTCTTAGGAAAACCAGAGACTCGATTCTAGAGCCCTATTGATATCTTATATTTATATTAATAGGAATTAAACACATGTTACATATTATTAGGAATATGCTGAACATTTTTTAGCATATTCCTTTACTCTCTCAATCACACCTCTAATATCTTTTACCCTCATATTCTTTGTATATTATTCTAAATATAACTATAACATATATATCTCCACAGTATATTTCTTCATACTCGCCCTCCAGCTGGAGTTTGTATCTGACCTTTTTGCAGTTATATTGATCTTCGTATCTTCCACTTGAATTTCAGATCAATTGATCCTCTCTCAGGTTCCACCAAACAAAAGCTTCCTTCCTGAATCCACCAAATAAATTATCCTCTCTAGGGATCCACCAATCAAATGATCCTCACGGGAATCCACCAAACAAATAATCCTCTCAAAGATCTAATAAACAAATGATCTTTCTCATGGATACACCAAACAAATGATCCTCTTAGGGTTTTTAGGGATTTGCCAAACAAATGATTCCTCTTTAGGGATTCACCAAACAAATGAAGCCAAGAGAATAATTTTCATCGAACAAAACTTCAAAACAAATTAGTGAAACAATCTCCTTCTAACCAATCCTCAAAATCTAGTAAACAAACCAACAAAACAATATTGTTCCGCATCAATCTCAAAATATATCAACGTAGCACCACCCTACCACCCTTTCAAACCAACCAAATGTCAAACAACTCTCCATCCTCAAACAAGCCAACCAGTACATAACAAAGTCCAAGTCCAATGTCAAAGATCAAAATAAGACAAATCACTTCAAAATCCAACTCTAACAAAATCCAAATAGAATCCATATTCAATCAAAATTCCTTTTTTCCTAGAAGACAAGTGGTGATGGCGGTGAAGGTTTCTAGAAGGCAAGTGGTGATGGCGGTGGTGTCTGACAAGTTGCGTAGGCGCTGTGAATGAAGGCAAATCGGGTGGCGTAAGTGACAACGAGAACATGTACACCGGGGACGATTACTGCTATCACTAATAATAATCTCGATCATTGACAAGTCCATCTAAAGCAGAGCGAACAAGAATCAACAGCATTTTTCACGGTGAATAGTAAAAGAAAGAAGGAAGGTAGGAAGGCAGCGGGAGAAGTTTGATGGTGACGGATTGGGGGGCTAGGGGTTTGCATGGATCCGATACGATGTTGAAATTAATTCTTAGGGAAACTCGAGACTCAATTCTAGAGCTTTATTGATATCTTATATTTATACTATTAGGAATTAAACACATGTTACATATTATTAGGATATGCTAAACATATTTTAGCATATTCATTTATTCTCTCGATCACATCTCTAATATCTCTCAACCACATTCCTGATATATTATTCCTAACATAACTATATCGTCGTAGATTTTCATGATATATTCCTTAACAAGAGACAATTATAACTTATCTACTGAATTTAACTAAACACGGTCTTTGTCTGGACTGCTGTAGTTTCCTCTTTTGTTGTTGGAATCTGTTGGAGATTGTAACCTCGGCTTGCAACACTGGTCGAGTAACAATGGTTGTTCTCATGGCTTTTGGAGTATGTTACAGAATTATATAAGTAGCAGAGACTTGGAAGAACCGTGATGTGTCAAGATATGGACCAGCAAAAGGTAGTACCCGTGTCAAGTGTTTATATGAAATTTAACAATATCTTTGTCAGTAGTTTCAACTATTGGAATAAAAAATTCTCATCTTGGGAAAGTTTGTTCATTTACTCTTTTGGGTTAAAGGAGGTATGTATAAAAATGATACGATGCTGAACTGAATCTTGCATATACAGCCTAGTTTAATTAGATGCAAGTTTGTTAGGCTACATTCTCCACATCTTAGTTTGTTTGTGTGCTGGATGAAGTTAGTACAACAGATTAACTAATTTGTTGTTTGTTATTATACTTCTGAAGCATGATAATGCAACAATTTGAGGAAAGATTGACATTCTCTCCTACTTTAGGTCTAGGTACCATTAAGGTATCTCATAAAAACTGTGAGCAGGTTATCTTTTTACGTCTGTTCCATGCTTGACGGGTTTATTCCTCTTTTGTATATCAAAGATCTTGAAATGAGTTCTGTAGTCTATAATTTTCTTTGTTTTGATGGGAACAGTTTGACATAACATGATCTATGATGTTTCAGGTCTTTATTTTGGTTACAGTGCAACTAGGATTCTTTTTAATTTTTTAAACATAAAATGGGAACACAAAAGTTTCTTTTTAATTTTGGTCATTTTGTTTTAGCTAACTATTAATGCTACAGAAGAATTGAGGTTGCCTATCTCCATATACCATGGATTATATCCATTTGATACTTGCAAAACCCATATGTACTTTCCATGTATTTTCTTATTTCTTGTCCTTATGATCAATTATTTTAATTAAGAACAATTTGGTTACACTGTTTTTTTTCTGTCACTATTTATATGAATCGTTTCAAAGCTTTAATCTCAGAATTTGAAAATGTAGAATTCAAGACTGCATTTCATTGGGACCTGGAGAAATCGGTATCGCAAACGATTTCTTGATAAGCTGAAAGGGGTTAAGCACAAAAATGCTAATGTGAATTCCATCTTTCTGGGGAAGAGAGCTTCAGTTATTCACATAGACATGGTAACCTTTCTTTCTAGCTTTGGGATACTTAGATATAAGTTCATGATACCGAAAATTATATTTCCAGTCTTCTTCAATATTTGAGTCCCCTTACTAGTTTTTATTTTCCCTGAAATTTTGGCTTGCATTTAGATTTGTTTTTTGAAGCAATCATTTACCTTTCCAGGACAGTTTTTTTGTGTCTGTTGTCATAAGGAACTATCCTGAGCTTGTCAATAAGCCTGTAGCAGTGTGCCACTCAGACAGTCCCAAAGGAACTGCAGAAATATCTTCTGCAAACTATCCTGCACGAGAATATGGTGTCCTGTATTTTTCCAATTAAACATTTTGGGGATTAGCATATGCCTTTTAGTCTTTGTATATATGATAACTGTGCAGCCTATTTATTTTCTTTCAGGAGTAAAAGCTGGAATGTTTGTTAGAGATGCCAAAGCTCGCTGCCCTAACCTCGTTATCGTGCCTTACGACTTTGAAGCATATGAAGAGGTTTTTTTTGGGGATTGTTGTTGTTGTTGTGGATAATAGTCTTATTTGAGGAATTGTTCTCTTTTTGTAATATGATTCTGTATAGTTATAGCTATTGTTTAGGAGAGATCTTCTCTAATTTTATACTTGCTAATTTTATCATTTTGTAGGTTGCTGATCAGTTCTATAGCATATTGCATAAACATTGTGACAAAATCCAGGTATTTCATACTAATTCCTAATTCTTTTTCTAATAATTGCAAAAAAGTTTAACCTCAGTAACTGGAAATCCAAGCAAGTGATTTATTATGTCCGTATAACTGTACCATTGCTTCTTTTGTTTATTTTTCATAAAATATTTGGTTGAAACTGTAGGCAGTAAGCTGTGATGAAGCATTTCTGGATGTCACTGAAGCCACTAATAATGAACCTGAAGACTTAGTACAAATGATAAGGAAGGAGATTGCTGAGACCACAAGGTGCACTGCAAGTGCAGGGATTGCAGAGAACATGCTCCTTGCCCGTTTGGCTACTAGATCAGCGAAACCAAATGGTCAATGTTTTATCTCATCTGAGAAAGTATGTTTCGTGTTTTGGCACTCTTTACATGTTATGCTCACCTCCACCTGTCAAATTTGAAGGCGATGCTTACCTAAAACTTATCTGTTTTTGTACCATTAACTTTCTTTTAAGCTTTGGTGATTTATTCATGGGATATGAGCATATGTGCTTAGTGTTCTTCTTCTTCTTTTAGCACTCGTGTAACCGTGTTATGTTTTTGAAACTCCATCAGTATTGATCTTAATATCTATTCTTTTCACTACCTGTCTCTAAGATGGTAAAGGAGGGTTGTCTTAGGTAGTTGATGGCTGACATGAAACTTTGGGATCTATGTGAAATGAATCCTAAAGGTTTAGAAATCATTGTTTTTCCCCATAACGGTCATTACATTGTTGCCAACTGGAGCGATGATAAGTGGGATATAATATATTTCTCGGGTGTTTCCCGACAATGACACATAGGACCACTTCATCTTTGTGCAATTATTGACAAGCAGGGGTAGTTAGGGTTCGGTAAGTATCACATGAACCAGCAATATGGTGCTAACTAGTCAGAGAGCAGTCTGATTAGAGGGTTATAGCCATAGGAGAGTAAATTAAGAGTCTTATGTAAGAGAGTAGGATTAAGTTAGCTGCTTGATATGTATAATGATGGAGCTTCTGCAATTAACGGTTTGAAGAAATATTAATGTAATTTGTTTGCTGGAAAAGAAATGGATATTTGTGTTCTAAGGATATTGAAAATATTGGATTTAAATTTTGTACACAGGAAAACAGAGGAGTATCAACATGGCGGAAATACTTTTTGGTAAAGTACTAAGGAGAATATGATAGATATAAAAAGAGTTGGTGAAGTACTAATGAAGCTTGATTAGGAAAAGACATGACTGATTATTGGTGCTTCAACACAAGTATATTACATGAGAAATGCGAAAGTGTTTTTGGAGCACATGCATGAACTAAATCAAAGAGCCTCACGAGGAAAGCATTGTTTGCGGGGAACATCCCTAAATATAGTAGAGTACAAAACGATGCATGAAGGTGATCGTTAGAAAGGAAAGAATGAAATGAGAAGGGCACATGATGGGGATCAGACTAAGAGGACTACAACCCGAAAAGATTTGGCATGAACCATTAGAAGTTGGTAAGGATTTGAAAAGATCGTTCAATGGTGTTGGATCGTTGAAGGGGATGATTGCGACTGACACGGAGATCAATCTAAAGGTGAGGTACTGTTCACACGAACAGAAACAACGAGATACTATTCTACTGTTCTGTTCACTTGAACAGTAACACGATTTTCCCCCCTAGAGGGAAGGCAGCAGATTGATTTGGTGGATTATGTTTGTGGAGAAGATGATTTTGGATCTAATGAAGCAAATAGAGATAAGTTGGTTAGGCCGGATTCACTCTCTTGGCACCTTATTGTTGGTTTCAAAGAGTTTCTCAAAACTCAATTTTCATAAATCAATTGTCTGTTCTCAAAAGAAACAATTACACTTGTTTATAATAGAAATCCAATGCCGAAAGTTAGAAACAAATATCCTTCTTAACTAAAATCTCAACGATATATAACTCTTAACTGAAAATCAAACCTAAAATATCAACCATGTTATCCTAACTGAAAAGATAAAACAAAATATCCGAACTGCTTTTTCAAATTGACCCAAATCATATCTTGGAGGTTGTTGTCCTTCATCAAGACATAGAGGTCATGGAGTAGAAAATGAAGTGGCAGCAATGCGACATGATTTAATGATGGCACATAAATGTTTGAAGAAGGGAGACGAATCTTTGATATCTTTTAAAGGTGGATCAAAAAACAGTAAAGTAAAGTTTTTACTCGAAGGATAGATAATCAACTATACCAGGAGGGGTTGACAAAACTTTGTCCATTGGTAGCATTAGAGATATGCTGCTTTACATTAAAAGGTGAAGGACTATAATGAGTGGGAAAGAGCTAAATGGTGGAACTTAAAAATCATAGAGCTTGATGCATTTTGAAGATGAACTGATAAAGAAGGTGATGGAAATATATAGATAGGATTAGTAGTGTTTGATATCAGCTAAAGATTGATATTGTTAGAATTAATATAAAACTATAATCCTTGATCCTCACCATAACTTCGGAGTTTTGATGTAATGGTTAGAGGAACTAAATTTAAGATGGAATCAGAGCAACCCAGGTTCAAATCCCATCGGCCACGAATTAAATGCGAATTTTCTAAAAAATGACACCGCTACGTGAGTCCAGTTTTCGACCCATAAAAAAGGGCGCTCGACTTGCCGGGGCATGTTAGAATTAATATAAAACTATAATCCTTGATCCTCACCATAACTTCGGAGTTTTGGTGTAATGGTTAGAGGAACTAAATTTAAGAGATATAACCAGAGCTATGTATTTATGTCGAGATGGTAGCTAAAGGTTGATATGACTAGAGATTTGTATTTTTGTCGAGAAGGATTGAAGAGAAAACTAATGCTGCAAAATATAGGATTGACGTTAAACACTTATCCTTTTGCTTTTCAGATGCATTTACTATTGGTATTGAGTATGTAGTTTTATAGTGCATGTTTTTTGCTCCTATAAGAGTCTTATGTAAGAGAGTAGGATTAAGTTAGCTGCTTGATATGTATAATGATGGAGCTTCTGCAATTAACGGTTTGAAGAAATATTAATGTAATTTGTTTGCTGGAAAAGAAATGGATATTTGTGTTCTAAGGATATTGAAAATATTGGATTTAAATTTTGTACACAGGAAAACAGAGGAGTATCAACATGGCGGAAATACTTTTTGGTAAAGTACTAAGGAGAATATGATAGATATAAAAAGAGTTGGTGAAGTACTAATGAAGCTTGATTAGGAAAAGACATGACTGATTATTGGTGCTTCAACACAAGTATATTACATGAGAAATGCGAAAGTGTTTTTGGAGCACATGCATGAACTAAATCAAAGAGCCTCACGAGGAAAGCATTGTTTGCGGGGAACATCCCTAAATATAGTAGAGTACAAAACGATGCATGAAGGTGATCGTTAGAAAGGAAAGAATGAAATGAGAAGGGCACATGATGGGGATCAGACTAAGAGGACTACAACCCGAAAAGATTTGGCATGAACCATTAGAAGTTGGTAAGGATTTGAAAAGATCGTTCAATGGTGTTGGATCGTTGAAGGGGATGATTGCGACTGACACGGAGATCAATCTAAAGGTGAGGTACTGTTCACACGAACAGAAACAACGAGATACTATTCTACTGTTCTGTTCACTTGAACAGTAACACGATTTTCCCCCCTAGAGGGAAGGCAGCAGATTGATTTGGTGGATTATGTTTGTGGAGAAGATGATTTTGGATCTAATGAAGCAAATAGAGATAAGTTGGTTAGGCCGGATTCACTCTCTTGGCACCTTATTGTTGGTTTCAAAGAGTTTCTCAAAACTCAATTTTCATAAATCAATTGTCTGTTCTCAAAAGAAACAATTACACTTGTTTATAATAGAAATCCAATGCCGAAAGTTAGAAACAAATATCCTTCTTAACTAAAATCTCAACGATATATAACTCTTAACTGAAAATCAAACCTAAAATATCAACCATGTTATCCTAACTGAAAAGATAAAACAAAATATCCGAACTGCTTTTTCAAATTGACCCAAATCATATCTTGGAGGTTGTTGTCCTTCATCAAGACATAGAGGTCATGGAGTAGAAAATGAAGTGGCAGCAATGCGACATGATTTAATGATGGCACATAAATGTTTGAAGAAGGGAGACGAATCTTTGATATCTTTTAAAGGTGGATCAAAAAACAGTAAAGTAAAGTTTTTACTCGAAGGATAGATAATCAACTATACCAGGAGGGGTTGACAAAACTTTGTCCATTGGTAGCATTAGAGATATGCTGCTTTACATTAAAAGGTGAAGGACTATAATGAGTGGGAAAGAGCTAAATGGTGGAACTTAAAAATCATAGAGCTTGATGCATTTTGAAGATGAACTGATAAAGAAGGTGATGGAAATATATAGATAGGATTAGTAGTGTTTGATATCAGCTAAAGATTGATATTGTTAGAATTAATATAAAACTATAATCCTTGATCCTCACCATAACTTCGGAGTTTTGATGTAATGGTTAGAGGAACTAAATTTAAGATGGAATCAGAGCAACCCAGGTTCAAATCCCATCGGCCACGAATTAAATGCGAATTTTCTAAAAAATGACACCGCTACGTGAGTCCAGTTTTCGACCCATAAAAAAGGGCGCTCGACTTGCCGGGGCATGTTAGAATTAATATAAAACTATAATCCTTGATCCTCACCATAACTTCGGAGTTTTGGTGTAATGGTTAGAGGAACTAAATTTAAGAGATATAACCAGAGCTATGTATTTATGTCGAGATGGTAGCTAAAGGTTGATATGACTAGAGATTTGTATTTTTGTCGAGAAGGATTGAAGAGAAAACTAATGCTGCAAAATATAGGATTGACGTTAAACACTTATCCTTTTGCTTTTCAGATGCATTTACTATTGGTATTGAGTATGTAGTTTTATAGTGCATGTTTTTTGCTCCTAGTATCTTACTAGTTGAGGTACCAGAAGTGATAAATCCAACACAGATTTTTGAGCCTCTGGACAGATTCTAATTGATTATTATTTTATCATACAACTTCAGATATTATCCAATTTAATTTTTTTCAAAGCCAAGTGTCCAAGGATTCCTCCAATTCATCACAATCAACTACAACAACAACAATAACTAAGCTTTTGTTTCAAGTTTTGATCATGAGTTACATGAATCCTTCTCCAATTCAGGGTTCTTAAGGCCATATCCTTAATCAAACCAACCAATATCATATTCGAAAAAACTTGTTATGAAAAACTTCTAATGATTTGACCAATAAGGATGCAGATATCTCTCTGAAGCAATTCCCAGCTATGAGCAACTCCCAACTAGGCCCAAAAACCACATAAATTTTTTATATAAGAGGATTATCTACAATCTCAAGAATAAAACCAATTCTTGTTCTATCTGAATTTAGAAGTGATGTTGCTTGGAATCTTACTTTTCTTTGCGTCAAACTTTAACATGTTTTGCAATTGTTAGTCACTTCTCTATGAGTTGGTGCCATGTATTGGCCAGGGAGGGAAACTCTAAGCAATTTGGATTTTGTAACTCCAAGATTTCTCTAATCATGCAATTTGGCAGAGAAGTTGCCACTTTCAAGATTTATTGGACCCTAATTGAAGTTAGCACCTTAAGCTTGAGCTATTAATGCTTGGCCTCAAGCATGGGGTTTGTTTGCTGCACTAGTGTGTCTCTCTTGGGCCCGTATTTATGTGTTTATGGTTCAACATATGATTGGTTCTGACAGGGGCCCACTTAGTCACAGAGAGGTCTTTTGATTGTTTAGCTCAAGCTAGTGTTGGGTGAATGTTTGCACTCTTTGGATTTGTTTTCTTTTTTACTACTTTAAGAACTGAGACGAAATTTGGGGCTTGTTTTAATTAACTGACGGACAGTGCAAAAACCTCCTTTTTAGCATGAAGTTGGACGGAGGTCATCTTCAGTTCTGTTAAAAATATATAGCAGATATCTTGCTTTGATTTATTGTGCAGTCAAATTTACAAAAAGAATCAGTTTATTAATTGGTTTCAATATTGTTTCTTTAATTTCTGATCGATTTCATGCATAACATGTCATTCAGTGTTTCACTTTAATTTTACATCCACATGTTCAAAGACTTAGGCAGCCCCTTGTTCATTGTAGTTTTCCAATGTTAATTTCCAGTAATTCAATTTGCACTGAATCTACTATTTAAGATCTACTTTTTCTATATATTAAAAATGTTTTGACTGCTTAAATCTGTTTGTTGGTCTTTTCTATTTTCCTATATATTTACTAGCTAAATGATGCAGTGTGATTTGATTAGTCATGTACTTTGGAGTAATCGAATTCTCATTTCTGTCAGGTTGATGGCTATCTGAAAGATCTTCCGGTCAAAGCACTTCCAGGCATTGGACACTCACTAGGAGAAAAGATGAAAAGCAGGCAAATTCATACGTGTGGTCAGCTTCGCTTGATTTCAAAGGTTTCTTCACATTATCTAGTAATGGGTCTCTCTATCAGGCCTTCCGATATTATTTGGGTGTATTATTAGTCTTTTTTTTATGTGACTTTGAAAAAATATTCCATCAATTCTTTTAACCTTGCTGTGTACCTCCTTAGCCCCTTAAATGTTAGGACTGCTACAAGACTAGAAGTTATTTAACAGCTGGATTTGTGTAAATAAGCGTTATTTATTTTTTCTCCTTAATTTTGGATGTAATTTTTTATATTTCAACTTTTTGTTGAAGTATAAACAAAACCCTTCTTTCTTTCTTTTTCCTTTTTGACTCCATGGCTTTGTTTTTCCTCTTTTATCCTGTCCCCTTTGCTTCAGATACAACAGTAGCTAGTTATTCGTCTGAAAAGACAAACAAGTTTGTGCTTTCGTACTGGTTCTAGTCCTTTCTTCCAGGTTAAAGAGCATGCTCTAGCAAATCAACTTCTAACTGTCTCTTGTTTCTTTCTGTTGACCAATAATTTCCTTGGTTTTGTGTGCTGCATGGAAATGTTTTGTAGATACAACTCTCTTAAACCCCATCATGCTATAGTCACCATTAAATCCTTTTCCTTTGAAGGGATCAGCAGAGGTGCACTGGTGTAATATAACACAGAGTTCCCAACCAGGTTTCAACCTGACAACATCTAAACTGGTGTCAGATTCTTGGCCATTGATACTGTGAACGAGAGGGAGGAAAAATTACCTTGTTGGTCATGCTGTTTATGCTTGTATAGTCAATAGCAACAATCTGAAAGTTTCCTATACCAAGAAACAGAAGAACAGAGATGGTTGACAGATTGATTTGGGGAATCATGGAACTCAAAGGACATAAGCAAATGCACCAATGTCCCACATCAAGCATACTCTCTGAAATACATATTTTGGAAACAATGTTTTTAGAAAGCGGTTTAGGCACCTGCTAGGCCTAGGAGGTACCTAGGCCTTGCGCCTAGGTCTTGGGAGTATCTAGGGAGCGTGGGCCACTTACACGGACAACACTGCTTAGAGCTTGATTTGCTCCGTTGACACCTCCACATCTTCTGACCTCTTGTCTCCGCCACCGACTACAAACACCTCTGACCTTTAGCACAACCTCCTCCACTGCCACTTAAACAAAAAAAAAAAGAAACCCGCCTAAGCCCCATTTTGGAGTCCGCATAGGCGCCTAGGCTCTAGGTGCGCGCCTAGGAGGTGTCTAGTGCTTTCTATAACCTTTGTTTGGAAATCAAGAATCATGGTTGTAAAAAGCGCAGTTAAAAAGCTCCGCTTTAGCTGAAAGAAACCAATGGTCAGTTTGCTTCAACCAAAGGCTATAGTAAAAAGTGTTGTAACACTTAAGTAAAGGGTCCCACCGGCCTTCAAAAGCTTATTTGTTAAACATTTAATAATTTTCATCTAAAGCTTTATCCCATTCTTTTTTTTTCAAATTTCTTGAAATTGAGTTTGATTGTTGTATTGATACTCATTTCTTTCTTCACCTTTCTAAATTGTAGGTAGATTATTTTTGCTTTTGTAACATGCTTAATGAATATTGTATTTCACAAAGATTACTTATTTAAAAAACTTATTTTTTATTATTGTGCCTTTTTTATTTCTTAAATTTCATTAGTTTTCATGCTTCCATGCTTCGTTCTTTTGTGCTCACATGTTTATAGTTAGCATATGTGACCTTTGGTATTGACAGATATTTTCTTGACCTAGTAATTTTCATTTTTCAGTTTGTTTAAGTATGTAAATTAGTATATTTGATAAAGTACATTGTGGTAACTACGTCCTATAATTGTCTTCTGAGGTATTCATGGGACTTTATTATAGGTCTTTGAGATGCTTCAAATACATTATTTATTGTTGCCTATGAATTTGAAACATGAAATGTCTTCCTTTTTCTACTTTAGAGTCTTCTCAAAATTTGTTGTTGTATTTTCTTCTGTTTCTTGTTATTTTAATTTTAAAAATATCCTTTTTTGCCACTAAAGGCGCGCTAAAGACTAAGCAAAACCTTGCTGCTTTGCTTTGCTTTCTGCTTTTCACAACATTGCAAAAGGTTGGTGATTGTTCTGCTCGTGTCTGTACTTATCCTTGCTTGAACTAGAGTATCTTATTATTCTGAAGAATGATTTATGATGTACTACATAGATGATCCAATACTTTAGGTCTGACAATTTCAGAGCTATTATTCTCTGTTTAGTTCTCATTTATTAACTTATGGGTAGAAGGCTAAGTATAATATAGTGTGTGGTCTGTTCCATTATCAATGGACAGTCAATTAGAAGTTTGTAGGCGGATGATCAATAATCATAATCTTTACTTTGTTTATTCCATTAAATCAGGCTGGCATCTAAGTAGGGTCGCTGCTGAATGCTATACAAAGCTTTATCTGGTTTGAGATGGTTATTTATGTCCTTTAGGCAGGATTGATCTCATAGAACCTTGTTGTACATAAAGATCTCAGTGGTTTACTGTCTATGACAAAGATGCTATTTCGAAAAAGAGGATAAGTTTTTTCTGCATCATGCAATGATACATCCAAAAAGATAGATGAGAAGATGTGAGCTGAAGAGATATGACTATTTTTTTCTACGCTTTTGCCATAGCCAAATAATATGTGGATATGCAGATTGGAGAAACTTCTGAATACCGACTGTAGTAGTTTTAGTCTAATGAGTTGTTGTTGATTGGAACATGCTTGTTAGATATGCTTATGTTCTCATCTTGAATTCAATACTTATTTCTTGCAAAACTGCTTAGTCAGGTATTCTTCTGGGCTAGTTTTTTCAAGCTGAGTTGCTATACTGGTAGATTATTATGGTTGAGGTTTGCTTCTGATTGAATGTATCTAAGGGCTTAAATGAAAGAGTCAACGCTATTGATCAACTCTATTGATCTTTCTTATGTGTGTCTCCTGTGTATGTGTTGTCTCTCTTTTTCCTTCAGATATATGGCTTACAAGTCTTTAATCTAATTGAGCTTTTGTCTACATGTTCCTTAGACTTAAGGGTTTCACTTTTTGCATCCTGTCTCCTAAGCTGCCAAGGATTTATTTTTTTCTAGTCAAATATGACGTGATGGCACTGTAGGAATGCTTCAAGTAGGAACTTTATTTTGGATGTTTTCTATAGTTCCATATTTTGTAAGCAGCTGGTGTTCTTGCTGAATGTGCTCGTCGGTCTTGTTACCTTGATAAGATTTTTGTCTGAAGCTGCAGGTTTAACTTATATCTCTATTGGTGTTATTGATGCATCTGAACCCAATTAAATAGGGCATGTAAATTTCTCTTTGTATATGATTTTACACCTCATGAGTGATACGTTATCCTTCTATGGAAATTAACTGCTGATGAGACCTAGAGAACAACTCTTGATGAGCAAAGCGAATGTAATTTGTGGTTGTAATACTTTTTCTTGGCTATTCATTTGATGCTATTTATTATATCAGTTTGCCTTATCAGAAAAAATGCCTTGTCTATGGATTTCATATACCTATATGAAATCTAATCCATTCATTACATTTTATCTCCATTTTAGGAAACTCTTCACAAGGAGTTCGGCACAAAGACCGGTGACATGCTGTGGAATTACTGTAGAGGGGTAGATAATCGTGCAGTTGAAGCTGTTCAGGTTTGACATTAGATTCTACATAATTTGTAATCCATGATAAAAATGTGATTGGTCTATATGGTTTTTCTTCAAAACCTCATACTGCTTTCTCTAAAATCACGTTTATCTTAGTTGAGATGACATAGTTTAGCTGAATGCATAGCTGCATGCAAATCAAGGATTCATGTAGTTGTTGCCGGCAAAATTCGGATAAAGGAATTGTGGTTGCAGTGCTGCTCATTTTTAAATGGGCTTGTATGTCTATTTATGTCAGCATTCGTTTTGTGAATTCTATATATATATAATTATATTAAAAACTTTGTAGGGTAGAAAATTTGGAAGAAAGGAGGAAAGTGTCCTTCATTCCACTAAAGACATGGGGGCAATTTTGTCATTCTAGATGAATATTAAATTCTTCACACTTCCCTATGCATTATCCTTCTCTCATACAAAATTAATTCAAATCACTTAAGCACATTTCCGCTCTAACAAACACAATTAAAACTTTACAAAGTAATCATTTTGTAAGGATATCCAAGTCGATTAAGTCTTTGTGCAAGGTAAATGTTTCATTAAAAATTAAAACTAAAATAAAATAACGCATTTACAATTGTTAAATGCATGAAATTTCAAGCTTCATTTTTCTTGTTCAATGTATAGTTTTCACGATAGAATACAATAACAGGCAAGAAGTGCTCAAGTATATTGCATAAATCGTTGAAAGTTAGAAATTTTAGAAATAGAAGATGATAGACTCGAAGTATAAATTAAATAGTATAACATTGACATTTATAATTATAAATAAATGTTGATCATTGACATTTATAATTATAAATCCATGTTGAAAGGATTGATAACACATAATATAATGTTCCACCTATTGTTAAGGTCAAGCGCAAAAAATGCGAAATAACATAACACATAACGTAGGTTTCATGTTTTTTGATTTAAATATTTAATAAATATAATATAATGTTCTACCTATTGTTAAGGTCAAGCGCAAAAAATGCGAAATAACATAACACATAACATAGGTTTCATGTTTTTTGATTTAAATATTTAATAAATAAATAACATTAAGAAAGATATTAATAAATAGAATCATCACATTTTTCAAATAAAACATCACAATTTCTCAATAGAAATATGTCAAAAATGCTGAACAACCAATCTAACAGCGAATCTAAAAGCACACATGTATTTCAAGTTAAAAAAATAAAAATAAAAATCAAAGAGAACACTCAAGTCTTAAGAAATATCGAAGGATATGATGTGTAAGCTAAGACCTCTCAATAGCTTAAAGCACAACCATAGATATTTTATATATGTTCTTATGGTTTAGTTTAAAAGATATAAAAATTGTTCATAATAACTTTAAGAAGTAGGGACAACATTTCAAAATACAAAAAATATTTTAATATAAGTTCTTTAATTTAATATAAGCTCTGCAGATTTATTAACAAGTATCATAGAATTTCAATTATATAATCACCTAATTTACATCTTGTTCATAATTTCATATTCGGTTTATTAGCCACACATAATTTGACAAACATAATGATGTCACTAAAATAAACAATGAAGGCTTAACAAACAACTCAAAAGTAATTACGTAACTACTTCAAGTTTTAAATAAGGAGTAACCCTCAGGTCTTTATAATAAACTATACTGCGATAAGTGAAGTTATATTGAGATAACGTAGGTTATATCCAAGTAACGTAAGTTATATTCAAATAACACATTCTTCCTTTATATATAAAGAGAAATTGGTGGAACTTCTAAGGGCACAAAACATGAATGCGGCATATCATAAATACCCATCCATCCCTCTATCCTATCAGAAGATGACATGTGGATATTTAATCTTACTCATCTAATTAAAACTATCCTTAATTAAAAAATTCTATCAAATATTTTGTAACCCTTATTAGATTATAATTGTCTATAATTAAAAAAATTCTCATAACCATATACTTAAGTATAGAGATTTAAGAAAAACTCATGTAGAGAGTAGCTTTACATAAAATCATGGGTTTATTTTAGAAAACCCTCTTCAACTATGGGGGTGTCTCAGAAAACCCCCCTAAACTTTTATTTTGAGAAGGCCCACCTTATGCTTGAGCATATCGTAGATAATTCCCTCAACTATGAAAATTTGAGATAACCTCTCTGAACTTTTCTCACTTAATCCCCTTAAATATGAGGTGTGTCTCAGAAGCCCCATTCAACTATTTTAATTTGAGAAACCCCCCAAGTTTGAACCTATTTTAGATTACCTCCCTCAAGTTTGAAAATTTGAAAACCTCATTTGAACTTTTCTCACTTTACGCCTTGAAAGCTAACATCGTTAGGTCTAGTATGTCACATGACAAGTAGGTGACTAAGAAAAGACAATATCCCTCGATCATAAAAGATTACTCTTATTTTTTTAGTATAAGAGAGAGGAAAAAGACATTGTAAAAGATCTTTTTTTATCGGTTGGCGGTTTCTTTGTAACTAAATGGTTTAATTTTTAAAAGAGTATTTTAGTTATTTTACATTTTGAAGTGATGTCTAGGGGTTAGGTGAGAAAAGTAGGAAATATTAGAGGGTTTTTTGAGTCACTCCATAGTTGAGAGGGTTCCTCAAAATATTGGGTGGGATTATCGATAATATGCCCTAACTAAAGGGATATTCCCGAATGAAAATAGCTGAGGGGGCTTTTCTGGGACATCCACTATAGTGGAGGGGGATTTTTTTAAAATTAACTCTAAAATTATATATGAAAAATCATACATGAGCCAACTTATATTTAAAGTTGATGAATTGGTCTTCCTGAAGTGGTTAAATTTTTTTGTTATTTATTGATTTGATATCCAGTTTTTATTGATTTTTATAAAGAGGGGTTATTGGTGCACTCTATCTCTCTTTAAAATAGTAATAGAACACAATACACAATAAAAACATGTAACATGTAAAGATATATAAAATTAAGAAACCTTCCTTTTATAAAAATATTTTATGAGGTACGTAAAAATAAACAAATCATTTACACACATTACCTGAAATATTTATTTCGAATTCTCCCTACTTTTATCCTATTTTTTCTAATAATTTGATTGTAATTCTAATGATTTTTTTAAGATTATTCTAGGAATAAATATTTTATTTGATTCTTAAGATTATTTTTATGGATACTTTAAAACTACAGATAATTTTTTAATTAAGTTGAATTCTAATGCAAGCATAACAAGATTGTGGTTTAACCGTTAGATTGTTTTAGACTAAATCAATATGTGAAGGCCTTATATCTCATTTAACTGTGACGTTTTATTTGACTGCTTCATGTTGCAGGGTTTAACTCAATATACTATTTAGTTCTATTAAATCATAAAAGCTTTTTATAATAAAATGCCAACGTAAGATGACGTCGCTGGCTGGCTAAATCTTTGTAATTCTTACATTAAAGAGGTATTTTCGGTGTTTTGATCACACAAGGGGCACTAAAATTTTGATATTTTTTATTTTTTAAATATTATAAAAATGAAGGAATGTTACAAAGTAGAGTTTGCTGGTTAAACTATCTAATTTTGAATTAAAAATTGTAAAATAAAAATTTTCCATGCGTTCATTCGGCAAGATGACTTTTTCTTTTTTCTCTTTTTATCTTAGAATATCGTAAATAAAGAGGAATATTGTAAAAGAGAGGTTAGTGGTTAAACTATCAAATTTTGGATTTCAATTTTTAAAATAAAAGTTATCCACCCCCTTATTTTGAAATTTTCCCAAGTTCCAAACTGTTTGAAGAAAAAGCTCTAGCTCGGATTATCTAATTTGCAATAATGCATGTGCTATAAGTCATGGTATAAGCCATTGGTATGCTCATATCCAAAAAAATGGAGGATATATAAAAAAAAGAAAAGGAAAAGCAACAATTAAAAAAAAATCTGTTCAATTCAATTTAGTAGCACATGCATATGACTAAAGTAGAAAACCGTAGAGACCAAATAAATCAGATATTAAAAAAATCATACCCCTAGCCTTCCAAGCTAATGATGCATATTCAGTTCACGCTATCTACTCCATATTACTTATTCTATGTGTAAGACTCACTTGTACAAGCACAGGAAAAATACTTGTATTATATGGTAGTTATTATGTATTCAAGTTATTTTAATAGGTTGCATAATACTTAAGATCTGTTAGGTTACATAACGCAACATAGCGAGTTATGTAGCAGGTTCTTTTTTTTCAACTATGTTATAAATTAAAATAGATCTGATATCATAAGGTAAATAAAAATCTAGCTTATAACTGTACTTTTTTTTATTCTAACATAAATTTTAGAAACATAATTTCTAATATTTGCACGTGGATTTGCATGTGCAAAGTTGCTAGTTCTATTTGATGATTGTTGTAGTTCTTGATTTTCTTGATGACAATAAGCATTGATATGTACATATACTTAGTCATTACATCCAATGACAAGTATTCTCTTGTATTTTCTTCTCAATGCAAATTAAGTGTCTTAGCATCCTATGGGGTTCCACTGGAGCCCATGGGTCAATGGCCTAGTCAAAATGGCAAACCCTTTTGAGTTGTCAATGGCTACCTAAAACAACATCATAACTAGGTTGGTGTACAGCTGAATTTGCCCATGGTGCAACTTGCTTCATTTCCCATTGCAGATCTCTAATAGTATGCGATGAATGAATCATTTAAGCGTAGAAAACTTATGTCATACAGTCTTGATCCTTGTAAATATATATAGACAAATAATATCCAGTATTAAAAGTTTTATACAACAAAGTTCAATAGCTAACCATTGTACTCATGTATCTCATCCATGCATTTGATGAAAATTGATTATCATAGATGCTGACGAAGAATTTCTAATATCTTTTGTGTATACAATGACATAATGATCAATTTATCAAATTAATCCAAATAAAGACTTTTTAATGAACAATCCCAATGTCAACTTTGGACGATTGTAATATATTAATATGTCCGAAATCATGGAAACAATAAATTACAAAATATGATTCGTTACTTATTGACTAGTGACTACAAATTAAATCCAACATTTATTGTGGCTATAATAACACCTTTAGGCTTTGGTTGAATTTCTAAGAGTACAAATAATAATGAGTCATTGTTTTAGGAAGTTATAGTTTGACCCTGTAGATACTTTGAAATGCAATGTGCTTCCTACTTTTTAAAACACTAGTATAGTGCACGTGCGTTGCACGTGGTATATGGCTATATCAAAATAACTAAAAGAATAATATATAGATATTGAATGAACGTACTAATAATATAATGTATTTATGTTTTTCTCTAGTGTAATATTCTTCTTAAAAAATTTATCATTTTAATAAATATCTTGAGTATCATACTAATATTTTATTCGTGCATTCAAACTTGTTCGTGGATTCGAAGATTGTCCGTTGTGGATTCCGAGGTTACTACTTCCCCGCTGCGTCAATATGTATGAGTAATAAATTAAATATATGATAAATAATTATAATATAATTATATAATATTATGATATTGTAAGGAATTAAACTAAATTATAATATTGAATTATATTAAATCATTAATTATGATAAGTAATTATATTAATACCTGTAATATTTATATGATGTATTTCATCATATATAAAAAATGGATTAGATAAGAAATTTTTTATAACAATAATAGATCTTACAAAGCGATAAATAATTCCATAATTGATTCGTATATTTCATGGACGTAATCAATCAATCAAACAAAAAGTAGGATTGTGGGCACAAATAAATAAACTACATAAGAACGCGTAAAATTAAAAGTACCTATTGAATTCATAACATCAAAACTTTCAAATTAATATAATAATACCCAACACCATCACCAGATTTCTCACTTTGCACCAAAGAATTGTTAGATCCAACGCATACCAGATGGTATATATATTTGTTCCAACTTTCTTTACAATAAAGAATCTCGATATCAATCTCCTACTCTTAATGTTGCAACCGTTCCTCCCAATAGATGAAAGCTTAAATTCCAATATCATCGATCCAACCTAATACACGATATAGACCGGTTCAATGCACATCTTAGGTCACCCATTTTATTACTGAACTTGCCTGCATAGGTTTCTTGACATGTGTTGGCACTATTGAGTTAGTTCTTGAGGTCGTACACGGCTCTGTCTTGGTCATTGAGCTGATAGTTTCAAACATGGTCGATGACATCTTTGAGGTCCCGGACTGCATAATCGAAGACGACGTTCCTCGGTGGCGGCATAGAGGATGGTTGATCGGTTGATGGCATCTCTAATGTGGGCGTCGGTGACCTTTAAGAGATCTTGGTTAGGGGTTTTAACGTTAGTGTTGTTGGCTTTGTCTTTAGGCTGAACATATAAAGGAAAGAAGGATGAGTTGTTACTGATAACAGAAGCCTAAAGGTTGGGGGATTAGTATCTAACTAATGGAGTTATAATGGTGATTTAATGGTAACTCTTAATGGATTAATAGGATTGATTAATGGATGGTTGTTTAATGTTGACGTTAGAGAATTTAAATGGTTATAGGTAATGAATTATAATCACCACTTATGAAACAATTCATTATAGTTGTAATGAAAGCACCTAATAATAAGTTGAAATTGATGACATTAATATTGGATTATTGGAGGGGTTACAAAAAATAGAAGTTAAATATTAGTGGACAATTAATAGGAGAGTTATGACATTATTAAGAATGCATGCATATATATGTATGTGGTTATGGTTATATGTATGTGTTTTATGGATTTTATGTATGTATGTATGTGTTTTAAAGGGTATTTTCGGGAGAAATGTTTTAACATACCAAACCACTTTTAGAATAGTATTAGATTTATTTTGCCCCACAATTCCTCAGTTATAACTCCCCATAATAACCTCTCCATTTTCACTTGAATCTTCTGTACTTTTTCTAAAGTCAATTTTTAAGATCAAATTGATTTAAATTAACGATACATGGAAACACTAGGGACTCGAGGAAAATATCCCTTTCTTGGGGAAATTTTGTTCTTTACTTGGCCGCAATTGAACTTCCAACTTAGTGAGATTAGTATATATATTCATCTCATCCCCAGCAACTTGTGACTCAATCTCTCTGTAGATTAACTCATAACTTGAAATCCTAGAATCTAAAATTAAAGATCTAGAAAATGTAGTTCAAGTAATTCCAAATCTGACAAGTGCTATTATATGGATAATTGTTTCTTTAAATTCATATGTTAAATGTCCTAACAATAAAAAAACCATTGGCTTTGTCTCAAGGTAAAAGGGATTTTTTTCTTATAGAATTGAACTTACCATTGATATAGTGCATCATTTATGCTTATGTTTCTTGTATCCTCTGCTCATTCCCATTCCCGTCCCTGCTCAATGATATCTACAGGAAACAAAATCTGTTGGTGCTGAAGTAAATTGGGGCGTGAGATTCAATGACATTGCTGATGTTCGTATTAGCTGAAAATATTTGGGGTTCTTATTTCCTAATGATATTTCCTTGGAGTTTTCAAGACATAATTTTACTCTTTGTATTTCAGTGTGAACATTTCCTCCTAGACCTCTGTAAGGAGATATCATTTCGGTTGCAAGAGTGTGGAGTGGAAGGACATACTGTTACCTTAAAGGTACTTTCAGTTACTATTAATCCAAATTATAAGTATATTTTCAATTGTTACAGTATCAGATTTATAAGATTCTGTACCTTTGCCAGAATGACATTTCTAATTTAGTTCATTCAAGTTAATTTCTTTGATGACTTTATTTATTCACCAGGTAAAAAAAAGAAAACAAGGAGCTGAGGAGCCTGCAAAGTTTATGGGCTGTGGGGATTGTGAAAGTATGAGCCGGTCAATGACGGTAATGCATGCACATGCATTCTGATTGTATGCTTGTATTCTGCTTGTCTGGTGCATAAATTAATGGAAATTGCTATTTATTTCTTATTTTTCTCCTAATTAATCTCTTAGATATGCAGCTTCCCTTCGCGACAGATGATGTGGTTTTGCTTGAAAGGATAGCAAAACAAATGTTTGTTTCTTTGCATATTGGTAAGCGCTTATATATTGTCCTTGAGAACGTTTCAAGTTCAGCTTTGATAAAACAAGTTAAACCACATAAATTTATTTCATGAAAAAGAAACCTTAACAATTTCATTTCAACATTGCACCCCCTTGGAAGCATTATCTCTATTGAAGGTTAGATATTTATTTTTATTATCATCCCTTTATTTTGTAGCCCTTTCATTCCTCAGCTATCCATCATTCCTCCACCATTTCTCTGTTATAACAACCCCCATTTTTGATGATTAGAACGTCATTTTCCCAATGTTTTAAATGTCGAATGTTAGGTTCATGTCGGATGGCTAAAATTCATGTCAGATAGTGGAAATTGGGGATATGTCGTGGGACATGAAAAAAAATATCAGATTGTCATATTAGATGGTGTGCATGTGTAATATAATATCTTAAATTTAAACATACTTGATAAATTATATTGCCTAAACATATAAAAAGTAAATGACTTATAATGTTTAGGATCACTTACCGATTGTAGATACTTGATTCTTGGTTGCATATTGAAACTATCCGAGTGCTTGACCTACAAAATATGAAAATATTGTTAGTAAACATGGAATAGCACATAAGGAATGAAGCAACTAACATATAAATTATAATATATAGAGTGAATCACACGATTCATATCCATAGAGAAACATAAACAAAGCAAACAAACAACTAAGTTTTTAAAGTTACAAATAGTTCATAATTGTTTAGCATCCAAAAGCAAATCCAAAATAAAATCGAAGCTATGATGACTAGAGACAATCTTTGTTGGAATTGAAAGTAGGAACATCCTCCTTATCCGACTCCGAGAATGTCTCTATCTCTTCTTCCTCGTCATCCTCCACCGGCTCCTTCCCTTTCCTTTTCGATGTAGATGATCCTGACTTTTTCTTTCTTTTATAGGTTTGCGTCTCTTTCTCTTCATTGGATTAGCTCCCGAAATGTCGCCAACTTGCCTAAAAGTCAAACATTCTCTCGGAAATACTTCATCATTGCTACCATCCCCCTTTGAACCCATTAACCATTCGGAGATCATTTCCTCGTCATCATAGGCAGATAAAAGATCTCTATCTATGACGACATGTTTGTTTTTTGACTTCGCTTTGAACTTGACAAAGACGAGGTCATGAAGCTTTTTGTGAGTTAGTCTATTTCTCTTAGTCTATTTCTCTTCTTAGTGTGAATCTACAAAATGGTAATATGAATTAGCACAAAATACTACAAACCTACAACATGACTTATATCAAGATACATTATTACTTTAATACCATCTCAAATGTACTTCAGTTTCTTTCACAAGCCGAAGAGCAAGTTGTCAAGATCAAAATCCTCATTGTCATCTTCCTCAACTCGGGAGTATCATTCCCATAAATCCTCCACCATGTAACTAGTTAAGTCATAATTAGAAAATTTAGTAACTTATAAATTTGTGATAGAGATTAATAAATTGATTTGAATAAATATATAAATTTACCTGAACAATCACCCTTAGAAGCTTCTCACTTCGCATATTCATCCCCAAATGGTCCTAGGCGTTCTTGATAATTAGATAGTTGAGCTCCAATGTATATGAAAGTTAAATTGTCATTTGGAAAGAGTTTATGCATACATTCCACAACAGCTTTTATGAAGCTTCCATCATTTTCAATATCCGTGTAAGTCGGATAATAGAAATAAGGATTCAAATGGTAGCCCGCTTTATGTACTGTATCACAAAGCTTATTCTTCAATCTCGGCTCAATCATTTTGAATATAGGAGTATACTTTTTCTCATCATTCTCAAGGGCCACTTTCAACTCCCTCATAGCCACCAACATGCTCCATATATTAATCCCATAGAAAGGACTTTATCACCCTCAGCTCTTCGAACAACCTTCACCAAAGATTAAAAACTTTGAGGGCAAAGTCTACATTGTCCCAGAACTTGTTGCTAGCAATTATCTCAACAACCTATGGAGAATACACACAATCCAACAATCAATTAATTAATGAAATATTAATGCTAAAAGGAATAATTTGTAGCTATCAATTTTAACTTAAAAACATATATCTTTTTGTCCATTATTGTTTTGGAAAGGCTACAATCCACCCATTGATCAGAAATGAGCATCTACCTCATCTCTTTCTTGTGATCCCTTAATGATTGTGGTGAGAAGAATGCAGTAGCAAATCTTGTAACCCCCGGTCTCACAAGATCACCCTCAGTAAACTCTCTAAACAATTGAAGAGGCTTGGTGTGATTATATATGAATACCAATACATTCCTCCCCATTACAATGACTTTATGAACGGGCTTGAGCTTGGCTATGTCGGATAACATCAATTTCACGGTGTGCACTGCACAAGTGGTCCAAAATATGTTTTTCCTCTTCTCCACCAACAACTTAGAGGCTGCCATATTATTCAAAGCTCCATCGGTGACAATCTGCCCCACATTTTCCTCCCCTAACTGATTAGTGGCCTTGTCTACAAAGTCACCAAATAGTTGCATCATGCTTGTTGGCTGATGCATCATGTGAAGACAAAAAGCAAGCCCTCCCAGGAGAATGTACAACCATGTTCATAATGTTTTTAGACTTTCGATCACTCCAAACATCAGTCATTAAGGAACAACCGTTGTTGAGAACACATGTCTTCTTGAAGTTCTCAACATTTCACAACAAGCTCCTTCGTCGCATCCACCTCTCTGCAAACAAGTCTCGCTCAATTCATACATCGATGGAGCTTGTAAATGACTTCTAAACATTCTAACGGCTTGTAGCATTTGATGGAAAGAGAAAAGCGTGGCGGTATGAAATGGAATACCCAAGGATATTTGCATCAATAGAGATGGAGCTTTTTGTGCCTATAGCGGCAAAATAGCGTGCCAAGGTGTGAAGCCAGCATATGTGAAGCCAAATCTGGTTAGGTATTGCATGTGAAACCAGCTTAACCCTCATATATCTTTTTTTTTGTTGTTTTTTCTTCAGCTTTTAGATTTAGAACAATCACAATTATTCGCTTCCGTTCTGCATCAACAGAGCTTTGTTTTCTTAATAAATTCCTTCCGGCATACCAATATTTCTACATCAGCAGCCTCCTCTTTGCTCTAGTTTGTTTTGCATGCTTATGAGAAAGTGTGGAGGAGTCCAAGGAACAAGAAGTACCAGTTTAATTCTGACCGACCTGCAGATGGAATATGCAAGCTGTTGATGTTAGAGTACTTCCGATACATAGTTTCTCACAGTGTCCGTATTTTGCCTACATGAATTCAACAATTTGAAACATTATAAATTAGTTTCTTGTTGATATTCATCTTCCACCTCTCTTGTCACCTTAAATATCTAAGCGGAGAGTAGCAAACTACTACTGATGCTTGATATTATTTTTACTTGGTGAATTAGTTGTTATATTTATCACTATGGATTTCATAAAATTGTTTTAATTCTTAGCTTAGCAACTTTTTTTGACTCAATGCTCATTGAGAGGGTATTGATGAAAAACAGTATCTTTTTCTGTTACGTTTTAAATATTGAAAACTGGCGCAAACTAACTTTTTCTTCAGATGTCAAGGAAGTTCGTGGTGTTGGCTTACAAATATCAAGACTTGAGACTGTAGACTTAAATAAGAGAGGTACAATTTCTCGCCTTTTAGAATTATGAGAAACCTTCGGTTCATTCATGTTACTAGTTTGTGAATTAGATTTTATTGTTGATACTATAAGTAAATTCTACATTTTTAAAGGTAATTTCTTGATGTATATGACTATATGAGTAGTTTCTTAGTTTTATTCCATATCCATATCATTCCCCAGTACATACTTCATTGTGGCCTTTGATAACAATTTTTTATCCTAGGTGTATGATTGGCTATGTGAATCCTTCTTTCATATAGTTTGGATATATTTTTTTGACCTTGCGTACTCTGTATTTTCTAATAAGCAATGGGCATTCTCATAACGTTTGTGGGGTGTTGAAATTGTGCAAGAGAGACCTGCTACATAGGCACAATTTGCAACCTCTGACTTGACATTTCAGCCCATCTTTTGTGGTTTGACATCAAATTGAAGTTGAAAAGGTTCTGTGTTTCTCTCTGTTAGATGAATATTTCCAACAACCTAGTAACAAATATTATCATCAAAACCAAAGTTTCTTATAGACTACTTCAACAGATATTCTTATATGATAACATCTTGATTATATGTCGTAACCTTCTTATTGTAATCCTTCCTATATAAACTGTTGGAAATATTAAAAAAAATTGATTGACTTCAAATTATTTTACTATCTCGAAAGTATTTATGCTGTGGAAGTGGCGCATATAGTTAATGGCCATGAGTTATCTTGTTCTCTTCTTACTTATGTTAGCATTGGACACTTCTCAGTGTAACTATAGTGTCACTCCTGTTAATCACACATAGCAAACACAACATTTCTGTTGTGTGTTTTACCTTATCAAATATTATGTGCATGTCCATGCAACATAGTGTGAAGAACACTTGCTAGTTTGAGGCAAACAACAAGAGCATGTGGATTAGATCTAATGATTGGGAAGTAGTCAGGACAAAATCTCATGAAGATGCCTTGAATCATGGATGAGATTGTCTCTGATTATTCAAGGCCACTTGTATCGACGGTGCTACATGGGTTAATTTGGAGACAAGAAGAGTTTGTTAGAGATGAATATATGCAGATAGATCTGTTTGGTGCTTAGGATTATGGAATATTTGATTAATTCGATCAAGGTCACAGAAAGCGCTAGGAGGCCTAGGCGTTGGACCCAACGCCTAGAGAGGTGTCTAAGCGGGAGGCTAGACGGGGCCTAGGTGTTTTCCTATTTTTTTAAGTTTTTAGATATAATTACTGATAGTAAATGTCAATGTTATAGAAAGCTTAGGCGCTAGACTAAAACTATGTGAATTTCTTAAGTGGTGGAGGATGTTTTGTTCAAGGTCGGAAGAGGTAGAGGAGGTGTTCATAGTTGGAGTTTGAAGAAGGTTGGAGGATGTGGAGGCTGCACAATATTATTACTGCCTAGGCCCTAGGCGCTATGTAGGCAGCAAATGTACTGCGTAGGCCTAGGCATACGCCTAGGCGGGCTAAGCGGAGGCTTTGTAAAACATTGAATTCAATATTAAAATATTTTGTTATCTTTTACTTATGTAGAAAAACTTTTATGCCTTACTGATCAAAGCAAAGTGTTCTATTTATCTATGATCTACTTATTCTACCACAAATTCTTTTTATATTCATCTATATCTAGTTTCATAGACATAAAAAAATCTCTATGTGAAAAGACATCAATAAATCCTTTTTATCTGGCCATTACTGCCATTAACGCTTCAATTAACAGGGTTTTCTATTAGATCATATCTGGTATTCCACTATGGTAGCTAACAGCTTCGCTCACTCCTATTATAGAATCAAAATCGTTTTTTTAATAAACATTCTTGTCTGTTTATTTGATACTTCTGTTGTGCTACTGAACGTGAAAAACAGTTTTAGCATGATCATTCCTAATGAGAATGGAAATAAGAAACTGTTGTTTTCAGAATGAAAATGGACATGCTTAGCTGATTTCTAAAGAATGATGTTCAGCCCAGAGATACAAGCAAAGATCATATATTTACACAATCTTGGAAAGTTTGGAATTGATTCTTCAACCGGGTCAAGGTTTATATATCCTACACCTAGTTTAAGATATTTACAACTCCATCATTATGAAGAAATTGTGGATATTGATCCTTAGATGAACATTGAGCTACTAGCTTTTTCCGATCCGATTGGTGAGTTAATTTCATCCTCCTTTTCCTAAATCCCACCATTGACTTATCTAATTTGACTTACATTGAAAGGCTGAGGGTGGGATAGCTCATGAACCTTCCCTCTTGGATGATTACCCAAGCATCAGGTGGCTAGGATAGCTCATGAACCTTCTCTCTTCTTGTATGATTACCCAAGGTAGCATCGTACCAAGTTATGGGTTTGGAAACATAGTTTTAATTTACAGTTCTAGATTGGTAAAATAATTTCAACTTTTCTTTTTTCTATTTTTGGCAGTTTTGGAGTTTTGTAGGTTATGATCATGTATGTGATTTCAATTTTGTCTGTCTTGTACGTTGCACTGTTAGTGTTATTTCATGGTGTTGTCAACATGTCTTCATTCATGTCCATTTATCCAATTTGGGAATCATTCTCCTATGATTTCCTCTCTTCAATGCTATACCTGTAAAATCTGTAATTGGCATATAAGAATATGTTTGTTGGTTTGACTCTAGGACTAGTGGAGGAAGCTGCAAGCCTTGGTCTATCCCATGAAGAGTAATCCTCATTGCCGAAAATTGTTCAGATCACCGACCAGATAGTTTTCCCCATATGGGTAGTGATGTGTCTTGAAACCAGTGATTTACCCTTTTGTTGGTTACCTGTTACTAGTTGCTTTGTGGATAATTATCGTCGTCATGTTGTTGGATGGCTTGGGAATAGAATGAATGCGGCACATACTTATTTGTGCAATATTTCTTTTTTTCCTTCAGTAGTATCTGATTTCCAAGTTTATTGCTTTCTCTCCAGGTCGTGAAAAAGATGTGCTAGAATCATGGCTTTCTTCAGGAAAGACCAAAGGAGAAACAAGCTCTCCACTCAACCCGGGTGACCATAGAGGTAATGCATCATTTTTTATTTTTATTTTTTATTTTTGGATGGATAGTCTCTTCCATAGTGACACAGTGCATCAATATTATTTGCACAATCGGTTTTCTAACGTGTCCATGAGCACTAGTGAAGGGATGAGAGATAGAGAGGTGAGTAGCAAGTGGGCACAAATGTTTCCTACTTATTCCTTCTCCTCTCTTCACCTCTCTCCATCTCCCTGTTCCCTTAATGAGTGCCCAAGGGCACTCATCAGAAAAACTCTTTCAAAAATTTATTATTCTTTTTATCTTATTTAATACATGCCTTTGATTTCTCCCTAGTTATTAATAGATAAAAACTGTTTTTGGTCTTACAGATGCATTGTTTTCTGAGAAAAAACCTGATTGTGGAATTCAACAAGATGATACAAGTTTCCAGCCATGTTGTGTCAATCAGAATCCTTCATCTGGCCCATCACGTCTTAAGCTATCCAGTGGTGGATCACATGATAGCAGGACATTGACATTGCCAGCATTGTGCCACCTTGACATAGAGGTTGTTAAGAATCTACCTCCTGAAATATTTTCGGAGATGAATGATATGTACCACGGAAAATTGTATGACTTCATGAAGAAATACATTGATGATGATGGAAAAGCAAATGCAAAGTCCACTAAAATCCCATTGGAAGAGAATACGACGTATATGTCATTTACATGCCAGAAAATAGATTCTGATGCTGATGGAAATTTGGCTGGTGGACAAGCTCCTTGTCTAGAACCTTATACAGACACCAAAAATAAAGGAAAAAGACCTGTTTGTTCTCCTGAGCTGCCTGTATGCAATTTTCCTTTTCAGAGTGAGGTATGTCTCTGTTACGTACTTGGTATGTACTAATACTTCTGTTACCTTAAGATAATTTTACCATATTGGTGTAACTACCTGTTGAGTAAAATGTTTTATGGCAAGTACGAGATAAGGGAGTGATATATTCTTTTTTTCAGAGTTTGAAAAAAAATTACCAATCATTTTCTTGACCAAATTTGTATCTTCTTTCTTCCTTTGATAGTGCAATTTGATTTTGGCGTCATGCTTTGTTTGGGGTTGACGCAGTTCCTTATAGCTAATTTCTTTTTATTCTGTTCTCTTGGATTCTTAGTAGATTAGTTCTATTAGATTAGTGTGGGTTTGTAATATCAAACGATAATTTATAGTCAATTTCTGAAGTTTCAGGAGTCATGAGTTTCGGATTAAAAGTATCAGATGTAGGTATCAGGCATTTCAATGGTTTTCAGTGATTCGCAAGTTTTTGACATTGATTCTTTTTTTGCTCCCTTTTTTCCCTTTTTCTTCCCCAATAAATTACTATCAGATAATTTTTTATCAATCCTCAGAATCCTGTATTAACCCTCATTAGTGGATATGAACATATACTAGTTGTTATTCACATATATTGGTGATATTAATTGGATTCAGCTAAATGATATTGGAATGCTTGAAATCCAATGTAATATTGCCAAATGTATAGCCATATTGGCCTAACTTCAACCTTCTTATTTTGTTTCTAGTTCTGCTGCATTATAATCCGACATTAGTAAGGCAGCTAAGGGTTTCACACTCCAGATATAAAGGGCATCATAGAGAAAGTTTTGCATGATAAGTTATCAAACTATGGTCGCAAATTATGGCCCAACTAATATGTGCTGGCAGTACATATATGCTAAGTCTTATACTATTTCTTACTAATCCGGTTTGCTGGGGGCTCTCTCTACAGCCCTTAGGATGCCAGTCAGTGGTGCTTGTGCTTAGTAGCTTATGTTTTTTCTGGGGAAAATTTTGGATTATGTTGATAACGGTTTGTGTATGCGTCTATGTTGATTTGGTTTTTCACTCTCAAGATATTAAGTATGTGAAGATGCATGTGCGATCAGATGCATGTGCGAAAGTGTTTAGATTCTTGCAGCAGCATAGTTTTTACTATCATGGCCTTTGCTAAGTTTGTTGAGGCCTCAACACTGAGAGATGGCATATAAGTTTGGCCATCATCTTGCCTGATTGCAGCTCAAATACATATTGTACCTTTACTATGAAGACCGATTGGTTGGGTGATAAAGCTTTTATTCACATGCTATAATTGCTTCTGATTTGTCATTTGCTTTGTCAATTTTTATTTATTATTTTTCCCCTTTCTGAAGTCTAAAGTACTCGACTTACTTTGCAGAGGGTGCAAAGTTCTGTTGCGAATGCTCTTGATTCTTTTGGTAAACATCCAGTTAATGACGGGTCTCAAATTGTTGATACATCTAAAATAAATCTGTGGTTGGGAAATCCTCCAAAATGGGTTGAGATGTTCAAAGATAGCAATTGCTTCTTGTTGAATATTGTTGCCGATATGTATGCTAAATCTGGAAGAAGTTGCAAATTGTCTTCCATTTTTCAGTCACTGTTTTCTCAATATCCATCAGACCTTGATTTAACTGTTGGAGGATGGGATGAAGCTCTCTCTAGCTTGTATGATCTTATAACGCAGTACATTGATCTAAATATTGAATCTGACATTGAGGAGCTCTACATTTGCTTTCGCCTTTTGAAGAGGTATCTTCTTTTCACCATCATCTTTTTTAATACATTGTCCTATGATACATATCCCAAAACCATATTATTGTTTCATTTGTCTGTTCTGAGACTTCCTTTTTTTCCTTTTCTTGTTCTATTTCTATAAAATAAATATTTTACATGTTATGCAGGATAAAATCTAAGATTGGGTAATAAATTCTAACCTCTGTTGTTTAGGCTGTGTATTATAATTTATTATCCTTAATATGTTAGTGATTGTTGTGTGCAAACAATACAAGTTAGTATTATGAATAAATGCAACTGATACTATCTCTATAAATGGTATGTCTTGATAGTAAATTGCTCGAATCCTCATCAATGTTAAGCAATTCTTCTCACAATTAGAGTGGGGAGTATTTTCAGTTTAGTCTCTATTTTCTTTGTTAAGTGTTTTGGTCCCACATCAGGTACACTTGTAATCTTGAACCAGTGTAGAAAATAACGCATTTCGTAGCACAAAATAACGCATAGCATAATGTAGCGCCGCCCTGTCGCTACGTAGCACTGGAAAATAGTGTAGAAACAAAATAACGTATGCTATTTTTATCCATAGCGTACGCTTTGTAACCAGTGTTTTCAAAGGCGCGCGCCTCATTACGCTTCATGCGCCTTACGATGCGGGATGGTGGCAAAGCACCTCACTTCTGACGTATCAGCGCCTTTTGCGCCTCGCGTACATCCTTACTTTGTGCAGGGTGCATGTAGTACATATCCTCATATAGTTTTGTTTGTTAACATTTCACTCGAGTCTTTATACTTGATATTCCATATCCCAAAAAGCAAAATAAATCCATTTGGCCTTTTTAGTAGCCTTCAATTGAGGACCATTACTAATCCTTTGCTTAGATATTAGTCTTGATTTAACATTTAATTTGAAAACTTATGAATTTTGCTACTATGTTGGGGGTTAGCATTAGAAATTAAGTCATTATATTGTGATTTTGTAGTAAGATATTATTTATCATGATATTTTTCATGTGAATTCTAAAAACGTGTTCTTTCACGCTTGATTATATATTTTGAAAAATTATGTAGGCGGCGTGTGCCTCACACCACTCGGGCACGCGCATCGCGTTGCGCCTTGTGCATGGGCGCGTAAAGATGCTTTGCGCCCCGCATTGCCCTTGCGAATTGATAACACTGTTTGTAACGCGTCTTCATAGCGCTCCATAGCTTAGTTTAAATTGTTCAAGAGTTGGGATTGATTTTGAAAGAATTTGATGGCTATGATTGAGTTTAAGTGGGTGGACCCTACACCTAAACCCTAAATCCTTGCTCCCGTTGCTTCCGCCTCTCGAGATAAAAAAACCCTTCCTCCGTCTTCTTCTTCCTTTAACTTCAAGTCATCAATTTCTCTGGCTCGCCATCCTCGTCTTCATCCTCATCATCATCTCCGTTGTTCTTAGAGATCCCCGATCGACTTCTGAACTCTTTGCGCCAAGTTTAGGACCATTCGACTTCTGAAATCATCAATGTGCAATCTTGAATACCGATTGAAGTTCATTCAACTTATTCATGGTTGATTTTGTTGTGAGATTGTGATGATATATTGATTTGTGATAATATTTTTATGATGATATGTTTGAAAATTGTGATGATTATTCAATTGTGATGATATATTGATTTGTGATAATATTTTTATGATGATATGTTTGAAAATTGTGATGATTATTCATATTATTTGATTTTGAATATTATGTATGATGATTATTCATATTATTTGATTTTGAATATTATGTATCTATAAAATATTTAAATAATAATAAATTATTCAATCTACGTTAAGAGTTACGTTATTTTGCGTTTTACGTTAAACGGAGGTGAACGTTACGCTATGCATTATTGCTATTTTTAACATTGTCTTGAACTATTTATCTATTGATAAAATAAAGAGGATTGACCCACAATAAGATTAAGTCTCTTTTCTCATAACAAGGTATCAGAGCTTGTTATGAAACCCTAGTCAAACTCTAATCACCCTTCCTAATCCAAATCTACTCATCTAATCTCTCTCCCTCCCATTCTCTCTCCTAACCCTAAAACCAGTCACCATCAAAAAAAGGGGAAAAAATACTACTTTGTTAAGATGTTATTGGTATTTAGATCTGGGAGATATTGTTAGATATTATGCGATGCGATTAGTTATGATTTTATCTTATACTTATTTTGTAATATCTTCCTAATCTCAATTTAAGAGAGAGAGGAAAAACCCTACTCAAAAACAGAAAAAGACCAAAAAAGGCCTCCACCCTGGTACCGTTCATCACGATGAACATTAACGAGGACATTGTTCACTGATGAACAGTATTGACGTGAATTGTACTCTCATCTATCTTTCTTTGATCGCCTTCACTTTCTGATCCTCCTTCGATAAATTATCTGGACTTTGTTGTTCTCTTTTTAGCAAGATGTATTCATTTTATTATCTTTCTCGTTAAAGGACACCGAAATCAAGATTGAGCAAGCAAGTGAATGATCGATCAAGGGTTTTCCCTTGTTTTCTACTAGTTATCTACCTAGGATTTTTACTGGCTTACCTGCTTAGAGTTTCTATTAACTTACCTAGCTAGGGTTTTTAGTGGCTTTTCTGCCTAGGGTTACTACTGACTTTCCCGCCTTGGGTTTCTAATTGCTTACCGGGCTATGGTTTCTTTTGGCGGTGACTGCACTTTGCTGATTGCTGACGACTTCAAGTATTCCAGGCGAAGATATTATCTAAGCTCTTACAACTACGTGTTTTATTTTCATTTGTATCAAGCTAGACATATATTATATATGTTTTAGCTTGAGGGTGAGTGTTAAGCTATTATTGGTATTTAGATTTAGGAGATATTATGAAAATTGTTGAGATATTGTCAGATGTGATTAGATATTATCTCATGCTTATTTTGTAATATCCTCCTAATTTCTATGTAAGAGAGGTTAGGGTTAGATGAATTTTATCTCTTGACTTCTATTAGAGTAGAGAGTATTTTAACTTTAGTTTCTATTTTCTTTGTTAAGTGTTGTGGTCCCACATCGGGTACACTTGTAATCTTGAATTATTTATGTATCACTATAATAAAGTGGATTGATCTACAATGGGATTAAATCGCTTTCCTCGTAACACTAACCAACAAAAAATGTGCCAGTTTCTGTATTTAGTTGTAGATAATATATACCAGTACTCAAGTTTATGATGAAATTGTTAAAATGCTACACGGAGGCAAGTCCCCTTGTATTTCTTGTGGATGAACTTATTTAAAACTTAGACCCCCTGGTTCTTGTAATTGAATTGCTACTTCAAATCATCTACCTTGTTTCTTCTCTGGAACCATCTCAATCTTCTACATATGCACGACAAGACAGTCTCTTCTAGTTATATACTAATAAATCAACATTTTAACCTTGAACTCGCTCTCTTTGTCCTACCCTCCCTCCCCACTTCCCTGTCTACCTCAAGACACTAGATCAAAACCCCCCTCCCATTCCACATATTGTAAGATACAGGTTCAACACACATGGGGGTGCGGTTCTTGTTGAAATAGACGCCATTAAAAATTAGAAAGCATGTGACAACATAGTAAATGCAAAAAAGGCATGAATATTGTTAAATCTTTTGGCAATTTGTATAAATTGCATGTAAATGTTTGTTGCAAAAACGCGATACGTAACTCATTATTTTGTGATGATATATTTCAATATTTTATTGTGGTACTTTGTTAGTTAGTAAATTAGTATACCTTGTACTTTTATTAAAAAATAACTTTATATTTTGAACCAATTTTCCTATTTCTTACAATTATTACAGACATTTTATATATATTTTTAAATTGAAAAGTAGCAAAAAACGCAACTTTGCTATCTGTTATGGTTTATGTGCCTTAAGCTATAGAGATGCTGAACCTTATATTATATCTTATCATTATTTTCAGCATGCGTAAGTATGAAATTACTATAGGTACTACATATTTATTGTAAGACTAGTAAATCCGCTCAGGTGGACAAGAAGCATTTTTCTATTTGCCATGGGTGGACTTATTCGTACTCATGTAACCAGACATTGGCAAAGTTGGCAAGTTCACATTCGCTACCCAACACATCTTCTACCAAGAATATGAATCATTCCAATAAATCCAATAGTAGAATAAAACTATCAGTTAATCTAACCTTTTCGGTCGACTTTTCCTTCATCCGACATCTTCTTGAAGGTAGTTTTAAGATGTGTGGAAAGAAATAAAGAATAGTGACGTATGTCTTTGTGAGTTAGATGTATCATGTATTTGAGTTGGTTTCCTAATATGCCGTCTTTTATGACTCTCAATAACACAATAATAGATATGGCCTACAGCCTTGGATCACTGTGAAGCAGTGTAAAAATGCATCAAAAAGGTGGGCATGGTGGTGTAGGTCCTAGTGGGTTAGATGTAATGGAGTGGATACCTTGTTACAAAAAAATATTTAATTAATCCTTATAGAGATCTATGTAATAGGAGAGTCAAGATTAAATTAATAGCATTTAATTTTAAAATTTTAAAATTTTATTAGATATATAATTAGTGCGAATTTAAAGTTCAATTTTTTTATACCATAGAGGAGAAAGAAAGCATTACACCTTCACATCAAAAAGAGAAGAAGCTAAAGCATGAGGTCCCTAAGAACACTGAAATTACCTTCAAAGGAAGTCCCCAAATCAAGCTTGTTGGCGTAAAAGTTACAATGTTTGTTGGAGTGATAAACGGTACAATCCTAATCAAGAGCCAAGAGGTTAAGGGAGAGAGTCCGTGTTGTTAGGTCGGATAAGAGTGATAGCAACCTCAAAAGTCTATTTCGCAAATAATGCGACGATAACCCTCATTCCAAGCTAAGAGCAAACCATACCGAAGAGCTTCCAGCTCGGCCACAATGTCTGATGCTAATTCCAAATGGGCAACAAAACTAACTAACCACTATCCTAAGTCCATTTAAATAAGATCGCTAGCTTCCGTAATGCCTGGATT